TCTAACAATCCAAAATTACTTACGAGCTGATGAGCCGATGACTTGGTTTGTTTTGTTTTTTCAGAAACAGGGTTTCTCTGTGCAGCCCTGGCTGTCTTGGAACTCATCTGTGTAAACCAGGGTGACTTCAAACTCAGAGATCCACCTGCCTGTGCCTCCCAAGTTCTGGGACTGAAGGCCTGTGCCACCATGCTAGGCTCAGCTGATGCCTCTTAAAAACCCAAGCAAGCAAACAAACATCCCCTATGCATTTAATCCTTTGTAACCAAGTTACTCTTTTGGGTGACAAGCACCCTGTGACCTGAGATGCTCTCTGAGACAAGGGTTGGATCCCCGTGAAACAGTGTGGTTCATTTGGGGGACCTTGTGGGAAATGCAGATTCTGCATCTGGAGGTCAGGCCTGTGGCTTGGAGTCTGCACGTCTTACAAGCTTGTAGCTAATACTGATGGGGAAGATTCTGGACCACACTTGGAGTAGCAAAGAATTGGAAAACAGAGCCCTTTCAGGCTTCCTAGTCAGCTTTAAAATCGAATGAATGAATAAATAAATAAACCTCCATGAATTTTCAACAAAAACTCTTTTATTTAGAATATCATTTTTGAGACAAAAAGCAGTTCATTTTATTCAGCAAAATAAACTTAACAAATTCATTTAAATAAGGTAAACTCCAGACTCTGTAAATTTTTTTTCTTAGCTACTTGCTTTTCTGCCACTTGGAGTCTAAAGCTGCTAGCTTAGGGTTCTTTCTGAGGTAACACAGAGACTTTGACAATACACCCGTGTGCTCATCCAACTACCAGTGAACTCAGTAAAACAGAGGGGAAAGGCACAGGGGGGTGAGTTCGGGAGAAGTCTTCCCTGCCTGTTCTGATAGCTTTTCCACAGAAGTCTGGGGGCTTGGAAACGAATGGTACACGTGAATCGCTACTGGCAGCTGACGACGAACGCAGACAGAAAGCCATTCCACATCTTCTTTCATTGAAATCCAAAGGGAAACGCAAGCCTCGCCCCTTCCCCAGCCAAGCCATCGCTTTACACAGAACTGCATTTAGCTTCCTGTTATTTTCTTTTTTAGCTATATACATTTTAAAAACACACACACACATTGTATTAAATAGCAGGCCAGCCAACGATGGGACATTCAACTCTGCACTGAAACATCGAAAGAGCCTGGGTAAGCCCAGGTGAGGAGCCGCAGGCGGAGTTCAGGAGAGCCAGGGAGGCTGCAGGTGCAGCTGGCTCCCTAATCTGTGACAGACCTGCATTCGGAGGGCAAGCCTTCTGACCGCCGCCACTGGGCCAGGCGTTGCTTAAACCATTTCTGAAAGAAAGAAACATCAAGAATTACCTGTTACGTACTGAAAAACTGAAATGTCTGTTTCATGGCTAAGGGTAGTCTGTGTGGCCCAATTGGGAAGGAAAGAAGCAAGGCCTGTGGGGGTGGTTCTCTCAGCACGACCCCAACCCTGGGAAATCTGTGCACGCCACATAGTCTTCATCCGACTTTCTCTCTCTCTCTCTCTCTCTCTCTCTCTCTCTCTCTCTCTCTCTGGTTCTCCTTCTGTTTTGTTAACCTCGTAGGACTTGCATTACTTTAATTGCCTGCATACACGCTCTTCTGGAAGGATCCATGAACACCAAGGCTGTTTTCATCTTATCATCATTGTATCTTCCCCCCTCCTCCCACCCTTACACAAAGTCTCAAGATGTAACCCATTAGTCAATGTTTCATGAGAGAATAGAAGCTGAAGCAACTCTTGATGCCCCCAGAGTTTTCTAGTCTCTGGGTTCCATATCTCATGATGGGTGCCGATGTCAACCTGGGCTTTGCTCCTTAGTAGTATCTGGTAAGATTTTGTTCAATGAACGACTCATAACTCATAAGCACTAGGCGACCTTGAACCACTCTTCTTAGGAATCCATGGAGTGGACCTCTGAGCAGTGAGAGGTGGCTTTATCCAGGATTCATAGCTATCCTGCTCAGCGTCACTCAAATATTGAACCCTTACCAATGTCAGTAGTAATTCTGGGGAGGCCTCAATGGGAGACTTCTGGAACGGTACTAAGGGTGGCCCACAATGTTCCTGTAAGCTGTAAGGCAGGGTGGCACACTTTTCACGAACTGGCAGCCTTTACAACATCACTTCAGACTGAGGGCCATGGAGACAAATAAATTAAAACTGCTGGGGGATAAGGTCTGAACCAGGGGCTCGGAAGGAAACTGGGATTTGAAGAAACCAGCTTTGAAAGGCACTGTTGAGAAAACTGAAGCAGCAGGCTTCTCTCCTTGGAAGGACATAACACACAGTTTTCTCTTGAGCCCGCACCTCCCGTGTCGTGGAGGACACGGGTAATGGTCAGATTTCACAGCGCAGATCTAATCCATCAAGATGCTGGCGTAGGTGAGCATTGTGGGTAGACCAACAGTCAACTCTCCTGTCAGTGACTGCCTACAAGAAGTCCCTAGGAACAGAGCCAGTCGGTCAGCTCATCTGCGAACAGAGAGGTAAGCTTTGGTGGTCTCTATCGCCCCTTGTGGGTTTCCTAAGGATTACCTAGTCTAGGGGTAAGGAGGCGGACAAGCCGCCGAAAGGAAGGAGAGAGAGTAGAGCGGTAATTCAGCCGCTCTGGGGTGGACTGACAGAGGTGGCCCCAGTAAGAAACATTTATTCAGCGTTCATGTTCAGCCTCACAAGTAGGCTGGGCCCTGTTGGAGAAAAGCTGGCTTCTCCTGAGATCTAAGGAGCCCAAGATCAGAAGAAAGGATGTGAGCCACGGGACGGAAGAGCCGCTGACAAGCTGGGGGCAGGCTGTCACTCAGGCAAGGGCCGGAGGCTTCAGGACGGAGAAGGGCTCCCAGCCCACTGCTCTACAGCCTACACGTATGCGCGTGCGCGTGCGTGCGTGCGTGCGTGCGTGCGTGCGTGGATATGTCAGAGCTCACTCTCTCCAGCTGCGGTTCACCTGCTGAGCCTCTGCTTCTGCCTCCTCCCTCTACCAGGACCAATTGTCTCTCCACCCTTATCCCGGGGGTGGCAGCAGAGAACATCAATAGAAAGGGTGAAGGGGGGACCACCAGAAGGAAGCCTTCTCCAGGGCACTTGCTCCCCGTATGTCTCATTTCACTCTGGGGTACTACTCTTTCTTTTCTCTCTCTCTGTATTATTTATTTTATTTTTTTTCCCTTTCTTTTCCTGTTATTGCTTTTGAAACAGGCCCAAGTTGCACAGCCTGTCCTTGAATCCACTATGTATCTGGAGAGCTTGAACATCTGATCCTCCTGCCTCTACCTCCCAAACACTTGGATTACAGGTGTTCCCGGTGTCTGGTTTAGTCAGTGCTGAAGAAGCAACCTATGGCCTGGGCACGCTAGGTAAGCATCCTACCAAATGAACCCTATCCCCCTGGGCATCACTAATCTTAAGGAGAAGAAAGGGCTTATGTGACAGGGCTTGACCCCAACTCTGATTGTGACGAGTGGGCACATTCTCTTGTTTTAATCTGTGTGTGTGCTCGGTCAAGCCTGGGTCTGGTTTGAGAGCAGCATGGTGCCAACTTCATTAATGAGGTAACTGAGGGGTTTCCAGGAACTAGAGCTGCATAAATGGCAGCATTTTCAAGACTAATTAAAACCTAGAAGAGAGAAAAAAAACCCACACTTTCTATCAGGACTCATTTAAGACAAAGTGGTTAAGCTGGCCTCATTCAAAAGAGCCCCCCCCCACCCCGCATCTTCACATGCAGAGTATTGATGGGTCATTACCCAAAATAGCTTCCACCTGAACCACATTTGTGAATTTGCAAGGTTCAATCTAAATGCTTAACAAATTAAGCTCTGGTACTGAGAGATGGGAAGAGGTGTGAGAAAAGCTTAGCTGCTGCTTTCTGAAGGAAGGGAGAGAGAGAGAGAGAGAGAGAGAGGGAGAGAGAGAGAGAGATTAGGTAGGTAGGTAAGTAGATAGATAGATGATTGATTGATAGATGATAGATGAGATAGGTAGGTAAGTAGATAGATGATAGATAGAAGGATAGATGATAGATAGATGATAGATAGATAGATGATAGATAGATAGGTAGATAGATAGATAGATAGATAGACAGACAAGTAAGAAGGAGGGAGGGAGAGAGAGAGAGAGAGAGAGAGATTGTCAATTCAGGATATACATCATAATCCAGCAAACTAGTTGCTGGTAACAAAATACACAGTCTCTTGCTGGCTCCTTTTCTGTCTAGCTCTGGATCTTGTATCCTCTGACTCCCATAAATCCTAATTTTCCACCTGGCTTTGTCTCTTTCTCTCTTCTTTGTTTCAGCCATCCCCCGGGAAAGACATTCATCCCTTGTTTGCCATGAATGGGTGCTCTCATTACCCCGGCTCACTGATGGAAATTTATTTACTCTGGGTGAACAGATGATAATTGGATACTGGGTTGGGAGGGGTCAGGGCAAAACAACATTGTTCTTGTCCTTTTCTCTAACAACTAGCATTTCGTTCTTTTCAGAGCGAGACCTTTAGAGGTCTTAGCCCACTGCTAAAACATGCAACAACTGAAAACACTGGATCCTGGGAACAAGCCCAGAACACCAAAAAGATAAAAATACTGGGAACTTCCTCAAGAAGCAAGGCCAGCTACACTGTACTTGTGTGTGTGCACGCATGTGCAATTGTGTGTGAAGAAGACTCTGTGTGTATGTGTTTGTGTGTGTGTGTGTGCAAGTGTGTGTAAAGACAACTGTACCATTCTGGCCTCTCGGGGTAAAAATGAAGCAATTTTCCCAGTCCTCTTTACACTGACTTCCATACAGTAAAAGCCACAGGGAGTAGGATTCTGTAGGATTTCATTTAACTTAAATGCAGCAGATATACAAAGGAATGAGAAACACTCCTCCATGGATCCCAACAAAAGCAATTAAAGAAGGCCTCTCACCACAAGGCCCTTGCTGAACACTGGCTTCCTAGAACTCGGTTTGATAGTGGGATTGTTACAAGGTCTGCAGATGCACCGGTGACTCATGAGCACAAGGACTGGCTTTTCACACCACGTTCTGAGAAGTGCCTCCCTCACACCTTATTAGGATGTTGGTATAGCACCCATTTCATGCAGGGTGGGGGAGGGGAGAAAAAGAGGTCTACAAGGGTCCCCAGCCAGAGTGCTTCCGCATTCTGGTCTTTCTCGCCTTCGTAAAAATCTCCACAGTGTGAAATCAGTAATGACCTCTCAAGAGTGGATCATGTGTATTTCTCTGTTACTAACATAACACTTGGTTTAGGGAAAGAATGCGATGCTGGATATCGTGATACCTGTCAATAATCCCAGCAGTCATCAGCTGAGGCAGGAGGATTGTGAGTTCATGGCCAGGTTGGACTACAGAGGAAGACCATGTCTGTCTATAAAGGGGGAAGGGGCCTGATTCTATCTCTGGAGATGGCTGGTGTCAGGATGGGATCTGGCGTCTGTGGTGAATACCATTTTGCCTGGGAGAGGACCACACTAGTGAAGAAGAGAGGCAGGGGCTATGCCGACAGCAGGAGTCAGATAGGAGAGAACCAGCAAGCGCTGGCCTCCACGGAGGTCTATGAAGCATCCCTAAAGACCTCCTACAGACAAAGGCAATTGTCTTAGCTTGCATTCTCATCACTGGACTTTGTGTCTGCAGAAGACACTTTCCTTTTTGTAGATAACATCTTTTAAAATGTAAATGTTAGGGAAGAATAGAAGGGTGAAGCTGGTGTGTGGCGCTAAGAAAGGATGGAGAGATGGGACCCAGTCCAACCAGAAATGACAGGGCAAGCAGAAGCCTCCTTCAGAAGCCTCCTGCTGAGACTCTGAGCTCTGGGTTCCAGGTACTTCCCTGCAGGTCTAGACAGGAAGATGAGGGCAAGCAGGCCTCTGCAGGAAGAAGGTGTTGGCCCGTGGCAGGAAAAGGAAGCCAGGCCCTCCCATGAGGCTCACTCATCCACACACCACCCTTGTCAGGCTGGCTGCACCATTTGTGCATTTGAGGATGGCAGGAGAGGTGAGACAGAAGAACTTATCATGGGCTGACATCCCTGTCGTGTGAATTTCTGCATTTGTTGGTCTCATGCACTAAAAGGCAGACGCCCTTTCTTTCAGCTCCTGCTGGATTTCATTGCAATTCTTTAATAGCAGAGAGATCTGGAGGGAAGGTTAGCAATAGCCTGGAATGCCCATTGCTTAATGCACAGGTAAGCTGATCTTTCTGTCCTTCCTTCCCATGTCACCACATACAGCTGTTTCCAGCCCTCCTCTGTGGCGGTCGTATAGCACAGAGGCCCAGGGTCTAAGCATGGAACCAGACTGTTGCAGTTTTAGCAACGTCAGCTTTCTGTGCCTCGGTTCCTTTCCTGAGCTCACAGGTGACAAGATAAGTGGTGTTACACTCAGCAAGTATCTGAAACAAAACACGCCAGGTATTTACTGCTCCAAAGGTCAGCATGGGGGAGGTGGCCCAGCTCAGAGGCACAGGCCATGCTTAGCATGCTCAAGGCCTTAGCGTCCATCTCCAGCAGCACACATGCACACATGATGGTAAATACAGACAAACATGACTATTCTGCTTTGAAGGTTGAAGAGACTCCAGGGTTAGGTCCCTCATTGGTACTGTGTGCATGATATTCAAGAGCCCAGTTCTTAAAACCCGAGACATCTTCATGATCACTAAATACGGCATGGATTTTAAACTGCTAATACTTCAACAGCCTGTCTTTCCACGGGCTCCAAGACACAGGAGCTTTTAGACTTGGATTACAATAAACCATCATCTTCTATTGGGTTCTGATTCTGATTCTGTTTGATCTGGGACTGGAAGGATTACATATGGGTAAATTCTCCATGTTGCCCTGGGCTTATTAAAGATCATCTAGGGCTTGAGGCTCGGGATTTTGGTTCCAGGATACCAGAGAGCCCTCATTACAAGGTTTTAAGCTTCAACTGAGCAGGGTGAAGAGAGGACAAAGCCCCTCCTTCTTCCGCCTACTAAACTGGAAGGGAAACGAACATCCCTGTTTCAGCGTAGCATTGAGAGGCATAAAGTGCTTTGAGAAAGGCAGGATCGGTTTATCGTGCAGAGCAAATCATCTTTCCGTGACCAAAGGGAAAAGAGAAGTCAGAGTTTAGACAGGACTAGGCAGTGAAAGTCGGCTAACTGCTCCAACACTGCGCCAGGCGGCGCTGCAATCTCTACCTTAAGCAATTTTCAGGATTAGTCGGATAACAAGGAAACCTTTAACAGACACGTTATCATCACTCTAGGGGGTTGTGCAGCATAACGTCAGCGGACTACCTTCTTGGAAAATTCTGGGGAAAGACTCTAAGCCTCAGAACCAGGGGATTAATAGAACGACAACAAAACCCAAACCGAACCACGGCAACGTGCCAGTTAGGTTGTGTAGCCGAGAGGCATGCAGCTCCGCAATGTAGCAATGTGGCGGGAAGAGCGATTTAACAATCCTGGCAGGTGCCTGCCACCCCCGCCTTAGGTTCCTCCTTTTGACAAACCCAAGGGCTGAATTTATAGCTGATCGCCAAAGTCCCTTCCAACTGTGATACCCCTGATGAAAACAAACCTTCCTGAAGATCTCCAGCACAGAGCGGGGAGTTACTGAGCTGGGAAACTGAAAGCACACACAGCAAGTGAAATGCTCCAACCATGAGAGGAGAAAGTATGGTCCCGGCTCTGGGAGGCAAAGGAAAGTCAGAAGGAAAATAAGTGGTGATGGGTTGGGGTTTGGGGTGGAGGTGGACTGGGCGCCCAAGGAGCTGCGGAGTGATACATGGACTGGGATCCACGCAGTGGAGGCCCGCGAGAGGCGCGGGGACCCGACAGTCCCCGGCGATGTGCTAGGCTTGAGGACTCACCTGCGTCTCCTCCTCCGTGAGGCCCGCCTCGGCGGCGATGAGGCACAGCGTGGTGGGGTCGGGATGCTTGTTGACCTTGTTGAAGTTGTATTCCAGGATCTCCACCTGGTCCTCCGTGGGGCCGGTCGTGGTCTCCGCTGACATGGTTCTGGCGCGGCTGCGGGGGAAGAAGAAGAGCCGGGTGAGCGAGGCCGGCCTGTCCCCTCCCGGGGTCCCACCGAGCCCCCCTCCGCCCCATCCCCGGCGAGCTGCGGACTGCGGGGCTCGCGGGCGCCCTCCCCGGGGACCCGGAGGACGGACTACGGAGCAAGTTCCCAGCCTCTCGGCAAGGTCCCCAACCTAGCAAAGGATGGAGAGGAGGATGAAGACGACTTCGGGCTGCCTCTCGGAGGGGACAGTAAAGGAAGCGCCTCAAGAGCTGCCTCTGGAGATCCGGAGCTGATCCGGAGCTGCCCTGGGGACCTAGGACACACGCGGGGCAGGGCTCCCGGCCCCTGGGCACGCCTCCCAGGCCGCGCACCCCGCCTCCGCAGCTAGCTAGCACGTGGGGGCCTTACCAGGGAGCGCTAGGCACCGCACACTTTGGAGGAAGAGACGCCCACAGTACAAGTTGGGAAAATGGAGACCGTACATTTTTAAAAACGAATAACACCAATAGACATTTACTTTTTTTCCTGATTACAAAAATAACTCATACTGTAAAAAAATCTGAAGTACATTAAAATCATAGCGGGAAAGTTAAATTGCTCACATAGTCACAAATTACAGCTATAAAATTTTAGATGACGCTTTAAAGGTCTTCCTGATTTACAGATGTGGAAATGAAACTACAAAGATAATGACTTACTTTGGGGTTATGGAATGAATGGAGAAGGCTGAGCCACCTGCGTGCCTTGCCAGGGACTGCTGCAACCACCTTTGCCCACTTTCCTGGCAACTTTTTAACCTAAGCTGTGAACCCCAGTCTTGCTATTGCCAGCCCCCCCCCCCCCCGCCTCCCAAGAGCCCACCCCACTGTGCTGCCCTGTGTTGGGGGTGATGACTTTAAAAACTTACACAATTATGCAGGATCAAAATCAACTGTTATTTAAAACCTCGGACTTCCTCAAAGGAAAACAGGTTCACCTCGGGCTTCAAGGTCTCTTAAACGTCTTCACTTTTAAGACAAATATTGTTGTCAGATTGGGGTGTGACCTTCCTGCTGTGTCCCCTCCCCATCTATGTAGCTTCAGACTCCAGGCTAAGAAAACTGACCGAGGTACTCCCCCCGTCCTGTGCCACGACGGGGTTGAAGACTGGGAGGTAGAGAACGTTGGACTTCAAGATATTCTCTGCTGTAAATTTCATACAGGCTTGACAAAGCAGCAGTGTGGGACGCAAACCACCCTCAAAGTCCTCAGCAGAGTCGTGAGTGGGTTAGGATGTGGTTTGTGCCTGCGGTGAGCTACCTGGATAATGTGCCCAGCGCTTAGACCTTTTCACATGTGACCTATACTCCCTACTTCCTGAATAATTGCCTTTACCCCTCCTCTAGTTCCCTTGAGGAGGTTTCAGACAGGACGAGAAGCCTTTCAACTAAGTGGGACTGGGGTTCAAACCACTTGCCAGATCACCATCAAATTATCATCAAATCCAGCAACTGGATGCTCCTCAAGTTAAAACGTGTACCAAGTCTCTGTACCGAGGTAATCAGGGTCCGACCGGTCAGCACTGCCTCTCCCATTAGCATGGAGCCTCCCTGCACCTATGACTCTCTCTCTCTCTCTCTCTCTCTCTCTCTCTCTCTCTCTCTCTCTCTCTCTCTCTCTCTCTCTGGAAAGTTATCTCTCCACAGCCAGGGACATCGAGGCAGAGGCCCCAGAGCTCTGCCAATTTCCGACCATAACCAGCGCTCTATGGCGCACACACTGAGCATTGGCTCAAGGCCGGTGTTTCGCGAGCCTCTTTTCAGTAAGCCAGGCTGTCTTCAGTTTAGTGGGAGGAAGGTAGGAGGGTAACAGTGTGAGCGCAAGGAGGGCTTGTTGCCACGTTCAGCGGGTGTGTTTCTAGTTAGACACTAATCCCAGCCAAAGCCGTCCAGTGAAGTAACCCACCACTGTTCAAGCTGCCAACCAAAAGAACACAGCAAGGGCAACGCTGCCTCTGGGCTTACTTCTTGCCCTGGAATGATTTCCGGTCCTGCTGGCTCTTCCCCCAGAACCCCTGTTGCTCCCTTGTGGAAT